CATGGATGGTCACACACACCTGCCATTCTCACACTGTTACACAAGCTATTAACCAAAACGCTTTGACTTCAATTTGTCTCTTCATTTCCTTTCTCTTTATTTTTCCCAGCAGAATTTGTTTTTTCTCATCTGGAAAAACAAAGAAAAAAATGTACTTTTAAACAACATAAGTAAAAGGCAACCTTCTCATTTATGAGATTTGATTTGAGTCCCACATAATTGTTTTTTAAAATAAAAAAATTGGGTCCCACAAAATAAATAATAGTTAAATGCCACCAACAGATCATTAGCAAAAGACCAGAGAGTCGTTGGTAGAAGTGTGTCTTTTGTCATAGGAATTATAACTCAAAATGACATTTGGATGAGATTGGGTTGCCTCTATGGCAAATAATAGTCAGCTGCAGGAAGGGTAGTTGGCATCGTCTTCTGTTTCCAGAATAATCAACCCAACTTCTCTTCTCTCTATCTGTAAACATGTCAAAAACCATTTTCTCAGGAGTCCTACTCCACCAAAATCCTTGAGACTCCGAACCTTTAAACCTCTCTGGAATTCCAAAGCTTTTGGCAATTTTAAGCAAAAACCCATTTAGCAACAATGGTTTCTCCACCAGTATCAATCATTTTCATCTTCTTCTTCATCATCACTCTTATCCCACTAATCCACTCTGTTCCTTTCATTGTTTTTCATGGTAAATCTCTCATCCTTTTGTTTTTCTTTTCAATTTCATGGGTTTCTGCAGCTCTTAATGAGTTTTTAGTGAATTTTGTTGCTGCTTATTACGCTCTTTGACCCATTATAGTAATGCTAGTAGCTCTGTTTTTGTGAATAAGAGCAAACAATGCAATGACCAAGTTGGAATTTTTTATGAGAAAAAAGGATATTCTCTGCGGTTTAGTTTGCTTCTATTTCTGTTGCACTGCTAGCTTGTTTTTCTTCCCTATTTGGCAACAGTCTTAGCATCTATAAATTTCTTTTCTTTTCTTTTCTTTTCTTTCTTTATTTTGGGCTTATGCTCACTGTCTAATGTTCGTTTTTCAGTATGTTCCTTGCTGTTTTCCATTTCTGAGTTGGTGCGGGAATGTTGAAATGAATTCATCTCCCATAAGATCATTGACAGTTTAGCTCTGTTTGTATGTGAGGTAGTGTAAGGAATAACATTTGTGGAAAATTGGCCTTTTGGTTTCATCTTCTTTGGTAGCTAAGACACTGTAGGCAAACAAGAGGGCATAAATTTTGGGCCGTATCTGTGTCCAAAGTATCTGTGAAGCTGTAAATTGTATGAGGAAGACTCTTCTTTAAAAGTACATCCATCTAGTTAGGTAGCTACCATGTATGTGCACGTTTTTCTTAAACAAATGGCGGAAAATAGTAGACGAAATGAAGTAGTTGGTACTTATGAAGAAGTAGACTCGGTCATATGCATGCTTTAATTTTCATACATAATCTGCGGACTATGTACATACTTGAACTCTGTAGTGACTTTGTTCTTTGCTTCTCCCTTTAACTTAGGAAAACTATGTAATAGCATTGTAGATCTGTGTTCAATAATTATCTTTCAAAATCTGACTTTTTGGGCTGCTGAAACAAGTCGGTAACAAAAAGTTTCTTCAAAATATTTTCGTGCTTCTAAAATATACTTGGACTTTGTCTCTCATACACTCTGATGGTAGACTTGTGTCTACATTGGCTATTTGGAGAAATGAATTTTTGTATGATGTTGGGAAGAGTTAGTTAAATCATTATAAAGCTGGGATTTTATTTATTTATATTCTATGACAGGCATTGGAGATAAATGCAGCAACCGAGGAGTCACACTATTTACTGAGCTCTTAAGCAACTGGTCTGGTTCTCAAGGATACTGCATGTATGCAATTAAAACTTGTCCTACTATATTTATTCTCTAATGGTTATATCCCAGCTCTAACCCTAAAAAGCTAAGGAATTCACATTCCACACTTCCCTTATGCTGCTTGCACAACACAGACTTGATTTGTGGGACTCTCCTAAGCCAGCTGGAGGCATCATCAAACCTGTGCATTAAGTTAATCAAATAGAGTAAAAACCCAACACACTAGTCTGAGTTTCAGGTCCCAGGAGGAACCTCTTTAAGGAACGCATAAATGCGCTCCTGAACTTTTGTGGGTCATCGACGAGTCTTTTTTTAATAGCACAGAACTCTCGTCATTAATTTGGTATGTTTCTCAAAATGTTTCCAAACTAGTGCTGTTGCCTATCAAGACATAACAAGCTTAAACTCTGCTGTCAAAAGGTTTTCAGAGTTATTTGATGAACTGAATATTTCCCAATAGGAACACTCTGTCAGAAATTGTGACATGTATGAATGTGACGTAAGCTTTGTATCAATTTGTTAAGTTCACGGTTGTTGTTTGCTGCTCTTCTGTTAAACGTCAAATTGTGCACCTCTGATCAGGCTAACATCTAGTGCATGATTAATGCAAGTCCTGTTTCTGATTTCATTTTTCTCTGTAGAGAAATTGGGGATGGATCGTGGGATTCCTGGACTGTGCCCTTATTGGAACAGGTGACTCTTGTACTAATAGTATGAGTACTTTCTATCAATAATATATTAATATTCCATATGTAGTTTCGAAAATAATTTATTATACTTCTACTTGCAGACGACCATTGCTTGTGAGAAGGTGGTGAAATAGTTTGGTAATACATTTTAATTCTTCATTTTGGAAATTAAATTATAACACCCTTCTTAACAAATTTCCATGCCAATTACAGGTGAAAAATATAAGTGAATTAAGTGAGGGTTACAACATAGTTGGACTTTCTCAGGTGATTGACAGGGGTTGTAAAAGTTATTTGTTTCCACTTGTGTTTTTCCTTCATAATCTGCTGCTACTATAAGATATTTCTTCTCCATCCATGGACCCTCTGCATGAATGTAAGAATTATGTCTATTTTTTCAAAGTAAAAAGAAAGAAATATAATGCTTCACATGTGTTCATTTAAACTTCAGCTGGTGAGTGTTTAAGCTTTGGCTTATTTCTTACGTTTACCAGTTCCATGAGTCATTCTTCTGTATTGCTGATGCTCTCCTAGCTTTTTTTTCTTTTTCTTTTTCTTTCTTACTTTGCAATTACTATGAAGTACTTGTACACTTGATGGTTCACAAGCTGCGAGGTCACAATATTGAAGAACACCTAGCATACAGATGTGCATACATGCAGTTGTAACTGTCTTCTCAGTTTTATTGCAGTTTAATGATTGTATAAGTGCCTTCATGAAAGGTGGAGAAATTTCCATGTAAATTTAGGACTTTTTGTTGCCTTATATAATTTTTGGTGATTAGATTGCATTCATCCATTGAAGTTTTTCCATTTAGTTTTTGACTATTCAACTTTGTATTGATTCTAATTGTTTAGTTGTTGATAACATATTCCGCATTCATTATGTTTCACAGGGTAACATGGTTGGTCGAGGAGTAGTTGAATTTTGTGATGGGGGACCTCCTGTAAGAACACATTGCTTTTTCTATTATTTTTCTTAAACATTATTTTTTATCAATATTGATGCATAATCATAATCCTTAAACATATATTGTTTTGTACATGATTGTAAAGCATGAAATGGTTTCCTGGCAAAAGAAATTCATCTTGATCTGGTAACTCAATATAATAGGAAAGTGTGAAGGCATATTTTTCCTTTATTAAGCTCCACAAAAGTGTTGTTACTTAAACCTGTTTATTGCTATTTTCAGCATTCCTAGTTTTTGTTATTACAAATATAGTGCGTCACTGCACTAAATGTAAAGTGGTTCACAATTCTATAGGACTGATTCACATTTTCTCTTCAAAAGTGTGGTAGGCTTCTGTTACCGTTCGTACTCATGTATGATGAAAGCACCTCATCCTGTTACTCTCAACCTATCCATTACAAAAAGCGCTTGTCTAATCCCTATGGATTTTGTGTCTTTCCAAGTCCTTCCAAAACCTTCCTTTAGTTCCATCCATCTAAACTCTTGTAGTCTTCTGCTAAAATCCCACATCAGTTATTGTAACTTTGTAAGTCTTGCATTATAATATATAAAAGGTTCAATGCTTTGAATTTAACACAATATCAGAGTGAGCGTTCATCTACATGCCAGGCCCAACTGGCCGCATGTGCTCCACGTTACCTGAGTATATTGATCCACATATTTCGCTCATTCCAACCACGTATAAAAATCTCACATCGGGTAGTCTAAGCCTTGCATAAGAATACATAAAATCCTAGGCCTCTTCATTCATTTCAAATGGTTTTGGGTTGGATGATTAAACTTTAACAGATGGATTAGACACCAACATACTAATCATCTCAGCCTCTTTACCCTACTACTATAATACAGTTAGCAATGATAAGACCAAAAGGGTATTGTGTTGATTGTAGGGAGAAGATTGTGTGAACCTAACATTACCTGATCGGTTTTTGCCATCTTCATCAGTGTTGTCCTTTGTATTTCTTTCTCTACCTTGTAGCACCTTTTGTTATTACATGTGCTGACTTATTTTTTCTGTTTCAATTTTCTAAATCGCTAATGTTCCATTCTATATTTATATATGTGAAACAGGTTAAGAATTTTATATCACTAGCAGGTCCCCATGCTGGTACTGCTTCTATTCCATTTTGTGGAGTATGTGCTTCTTCCTCTTCTCTCTGGTTTTAACAAAAAAAATATTATTCTGAATAATTTTACTTACAATGTATAATAAAGTCATTTTCTAGGTTTTTATTGTATTTGGAATGCCCACTTGCTTAAGTAATTAGTTTAAACACAAAATCCTGATAAACAGGACAAAATCTATTAGGATGAAATAAAGACTTGGTTATTTCCCTCATATGTGAGATAAACATATTGTGAATCAAGCCCAGTAAAATATTTCAATATGATGTCCCATATGTAAACTGAAAGCATCCTGAATTTAGAATATTCACAGTTGCGGAGCGCTGTTCAGAAAGATAATGATGTTTCCTTTTGGAGTTATTAGGACTTGAGCTATTCTATGCAATATAACTTCATTCAAGTATTTGTCTACGTTGAATCCAGTTAAAACTAAGTTACATGTGTGGTATTTGGAGTATGATATTGGTGCTTCACGATTCATGTTACTTCAAAATTATTTCCATGGCAAAAATTTTATCTTGTGTGAATTTAAAACAACCAGAATTTGTGTCATGAGAATGACCAGATATTCTGTTGTTTTCACCTTCCCTTTTGACTTTGTAAAACGTGAAGTGACAGAATCAATATTGTATTTCCATCCCATCCTGATCAGAAAGACACTGAAATGCGTTTTTGTCTTTGGAACCCTTGGCAACAGAATTCAATATTGATAGACTTAGAACATGATGGGGAAATAAGTAATATCAGTGGAATAAGTCATATCGAATATATGTTCTATTACTCACTTACCAATATATTAGTTATATATTTTATGTTTTGCAGTCCGAATGGATTTGTGTGCTTCTGGACAGCTTAATCAAGTCAGAGATCTACAGCAGCTATATCCAGGTTTAAACTTATTGAGCTCTCAAGTTCTTAATTTTTTCCTTTTTTCTTTTGTATTTAAGTTTCTGAAACAGGAGACAGTAACATTTGCCTCAGTAAAATGGTATCTCTGTTGAGATTCTTGCGACCAAGTTGTCCTGTTTCTCTCTTGTTATTTATCTCTGTTGGAAACTCGCCAATTGAATTACCTACTTTTGATGGGTTTGCAGGAACATTTGTCTCCAAGTGGTTATCTTAAAATCCCTACTGTGAGTATAATCCATGAGTTAGCTTAAAAGATTTTTTGTACTGTCTGTAGGTTCCATGCACCAAGAGTTAAACTTCATCAACTTTTCTATTCTCCAGGACATTGCTGCCTATTTAAAAGGGTGTAGGTTCCTTCCAAGGTTGAACAATGAAATAAATAATACGAGAAATTCCACTTATAAGGAACGGTTTTCGAGCTTAGAGAAGTTGGTACTAATTATGGTGAGGTTTAAAGTTATAGTTTCTCTGGCCCATTTGAAACGATTCAGTTTGTAGTTCTAAATTTTATTTCTCCTGGCGTCCATGGTTAGTTTGAGCAGGACACTATATTGATACCCAAGGAGACCTCCTGGTTTGGATATTTCCCAGATGGGGCCTTTGATCCTATTTTGCCCGCGCAAGAGGTAACCTATCTACTCCATAGTTCTTGCTCAAGTACTGAATAATAAAAGTTTGTGCTTTATAATCTGAGACCATGGAGAGAAGTCCATATTCTTGTTGCCTAGTGCTTTTTGGCTGTCAATATACTATACTTTAAAGCTTTAGGATTTCTGAACATTGTATTATCCTGCAGACCAAGCTGTACACTGAAGACTGGATTGGCTTGAAAACCTTGGATGAAGCTGGAAAAGTTAAGTTCATTAATGTGTCAGGGGGCCATCTGCACATCTCTCGAAGCGACATGAAAAAGTATGTTGTGCCATACTTGGAAGACGAAGCCTCAATGCAGCCCAAGATAGCAGAGCCTTCATCACATAAATCATTTTCATCCATCTGGAACAACTTCCTGGATCTTTTCGGGCTCACAGAGCATCGGCAATTGGTGCTGACTGTGGTTTAATCTGAGTAAGAACACTGGATATACAGAAGGCGGCTGTGAAGTGATTGTTACCGCATATGTTGTTTTCATTTTTAAACGGTATACTAGAATGGGACTTCTTGTGTCTGTTTATTATGCCTCATTGGAGAACGGAGAAGTGGGTTTTGCACTGCAGAGAGTGGCAATTGCATTTGACGAGGTTCTTCCAAATGTTACTTCATAATTTTTTTTTCTTACGAGGTTGCTAACTTAGTGTATCCAAATAGCATAAACCAAATCGTTTTCTTTTTGGAGTGATAATAAAATCATATTTGAGGAACGAAAGTTAAACTTTATTACCTTGTTTTAGAATTGAGTTTTTGTTCCAATACCAAGGCAATTAGAATTTCTAAATTTGAGGTTATAATAACGACCGAAGAGATCAACTCTTGCCATTTCTCCAAAATTTGGGGACTACTTAAAGCTGAAGGGGGAAATAGGCATAGATAGCACCAGTTTCAATAGTCCATGCAAGAATAGTACAATGTGAAAACATTGCATAACTAGAACGTATAAATACAATTCTATTTCAAACCCTAGTTCTCTATTTCCGACCCCATTGTTTCTCAAATTTGCATGGTTTTCAAAATTATGTTATTCCTGCATATACCATGGAACCGGTGTTATCTATCTATGCCTCTTTCCCTAATATAGGGTTTAGTTGATATTAGTTGAAACAAAGAGAAACATGTAATTTATTCACAAAATACATCCTCAGAGGCATCACCTCGGAATACTGCCAGTACTAAAAAAACATTCTTAGAT